CTTCAAGGACTGAGAAAACAATAGTTGAATACAATAGTTGAATACAATAGTTTGTACTATAAACATGTTTGCTTGACTTTCTATCTATTATTTAAAATTTAAATAATTTACTATTTTACTATTTCGAAATTCGTGTTTTTGATAGACTTCAATTATTTTCAGTCCAATACAAATTGTATAGAGAAGTTAATTTTCACTAGATATTTTATTTATGATTTAACGTTTGATTTGCGTTAGTAACAAATCATTTCTTGCACAGCAGGGAAGTCCAAGTCAAGTCACAAAAATGGCGTCTCAAGTACAAGTCGCATGACTGCGGATTTTTAAAGTAGCAACACTTGAATAACCCTTCCGATTTGGTCTGAAACATGACTTTATATAGACTAGTCACTAGTCTTAAAGACTGGATTAATATTTGATGATGATAAACTTTATTTAAATCAGGTTAACCACGCTAACATTGTCAGCTCAGTACTCAGTAAGGCTGAACGATAACAAACTATTAGAAGTTTAAATATATATATATAGATTAGACATTAATGATTTACAAAAATACTTGTTTTAAAAGCGATCGGCTGGGCAGCGATTTCCTTTCCAGAGCCATTGGAGGCAAAGACCCCTCTTTTTCAAACTATTCTAACTTTGCCTGCTTGACAAACGTACAAGGCTTGAGCTGTCACGAAGATCGTGGTTTAATGATTTCTATTTTAATTAAATTGTAAAAAAAGTCGATGTCTGCAAATGAGTTTCAATCCGTCTTCCGCGCTACAAACTGATCGAAATCTCGTGCCGACATGAGGTCGATGACTCCCGCGTCAGGCATAAATAAACATCCGTTAGATATTGAGTGATGATTTCTATTTTAAATGTCAAAAAACGGTTTCTGAAAATAAGTCTCAAATTCTCAATCCTCTTCCGCGCTACAAAATCGATATCTGGTTGCCATAACTCCCAAAACGGCATATGGGCTTATGGCTTATAATTGCGTGAATGATTTGAGAAAAATCCAGGCGGTCTTTTTGGACTATTGTCGTATCGGCGTCGTGATACAAAAATCACATTTTTGCTACGTGACTTTATTAAATAGTTGCTTTCCATCAAACGAAATAGGAAATTTTGTGTGAAAAAGTCAGGGAACATAAAAAATGCTCGCAAGATAGGTCTAAACGAATCCAGAACGACCAAAAATTGGAAAGCAAATAGCTGAATAAACTCTTTTTGTCTTGATAATGGCACTTGGAAAAGTTTTAATGAATTTTCGCTAGCATCTGGCAGACAGTGCACGGGTTAACTCGCGGCTTACTGCTGTGAAAACTCTTGCAAATCTACACAATGTAATTGAATATTCCACAATGACAATAGTCCGATTTCATTTTTAATTAATCTAGAAAGTAAAAGCTCAATTTCTATGCGGTTGAAAAAGACGCGAGGGCAATGTATGATAGTGACAATTAACTCCGCTTCAAACCTATTTGCATGCCCCATGTTCCATATTTAATGAGAACAATTAATGCCCTTCCTGCAAAGCATGTATGACTACACTAATACGTAGACGAAATTATATGGAAGTGTCATCGTACCCTGCGTAGCACGGAGATCAAATTACATTGAGCGCGCTTGACAACTGCTAGTGGTGCTTTTCTATTGCGTGTTGAATTAAAACCGCCAAAAAGCAACATAAAGTCCGCGTCGCATTTTGAAGAAAAAAAGACAAGAAAAATAAATTATATGTTAATTAATAAGAGTGTGCAAATGTTTGTTGAGTTGTGAATTCCGGTTTGATGGAATAACAAGGCGAGTGCATTCTAGACTGGAAGTCTTAGATATCGGCAACGAAATTTGTATGTTGATACACTGTAGATTGAACTAAGTAGCAATTGGCGAATATTGGAATCTTTTGGAAGTATTTAAATGGATTCGCACGACAAAGTCATGTGTGTTGCTGGTTCATAATTCGCCTGACTAAAGATATGGCTAAAGTCAACTTGATTTCCTGGTTGGTTCTAATGGCGTTCGTATTATTATACAGTGATACTCATGGACAGAAATCGGTGAATCACGATCTAGAATTATTACTGGGATATCGTTCCCATATTGACAACCTGCTAAAGGACAAACCGTGTAGCGAAGATTATAATCTACTCGGCCACGGTAAGATATTTCAAGACTATTCATTTTGGGACAATGAAATCAGAACTGCCAACAATGTTGCAAATTATCTTACATCGATGTGGCGTTACAAGAACGAGAATAGTCGTTCCTTGGTCGAGAACGACGCGGCTATATACACTTTAGCAAAGACTATAGCATTGTCGTCTGATCAAATCTACGGTTCGGTTATATGCTTCGATGAAAATAAATTCCAAGGAAGACGGCAATTTTGTCCATACGCTTATAAGAATGAAACAAATGAGACAATAGTTCGTGATTTGGGAAGATTTAACGAGTATCTCGCGACCCCCACTCCGACGACAATAATGAATCGAACATTTGTCAGACACACTTTCATCTGGTGGCATGTTGGCAAAACGTACATTTTAAACGCCACGCAACTCAAACAGAAAACTGTAAAATACGATACAAACTTAGATAACCCAACCGCTAATAGCCCAAACGTATCCGCAAATGAGAGCTACTATTATATCACATCGAAATATATTCCCATAAACTATGGAAAATGGACTACACCGTATTATGATTGTTTTGGTGGCAAGACATGGATGATTACCTATCTTGCACCATTTTACGACGAAGTTAACAATTTTTTGTAAGTATCTTTGTGGGCAAATAGTGGGTTCTTAGTTTGGGTAGAATTTGCCGAACCAGGATGAGTTGTTGCAATTAGGAACACATTACGAATGGGATAAAAGTCCTCGACAGCTGGTTAAACTTTAATATATTGCATTCATTGCATTTCAAATTTTAAGAATACGGGAGAAGACTCTAGCAAAGCATGTACACAGGAAATATCGAGCACTTTGAATGTCAAAGAGGCCAAGTCATGCGTGTTATCGACACAAACAAGTCTCTCTCTGCAACCCACATGCATTTTAACGATACATATACCGCATGCTTTTACTTTGTTTTGCTCTTCGAAAGCGGTGAATCTACGCAGGTGGTCGTAAATTTTATGCCGTCTAGACTTAAGTCCACTATTCCACAACAATACTAATAAGAATAATCGAAATATAAATACATTTATATATCGGTTAAAACCAACGGCGATCATAGAATTTCCCACGGTTTAGCTTTGTAGTTTTAGATCGTCGGTTTTCGGCAAACTAATAATTTTCGGATGGAAATTGAATAGTTTCGCTAGGCTTGTTTTGATTGTGACAAGCCACAAGCAGGTTAAACGATTATTTGTTCAGCTAAAACGTAATGCTATTCAGTTTTAGCAACCTACTGAAGGAAACTGATAGCATTTGATCGAAAACTGTTTATATATATATATGTATATATATATAGTCATAGAGTCAGTAAAGGTAATCTCTATGGCGTATGCATACCACAGGCTATATATTTTGCGCGTTAGAAGACAAATAATAACCGGGCTATTAAAGAAGCACATATGGCGATAGAAAGGGCATTTAAAGCAACTATATCGACTATACTGCGTAAATAGACGAAAAATTGTTTGTATTCAATACATGTATTCCTTTATATAGCATAGACATAACAAAGCGATTCGCAAAATATACACGCTTTCTAAGAAACTTATTGCATGTAGAAAGCGCGGTTCTGCTAGTATTTTTGCTAGATATAAATTCTCGAATAATTTGAGCACTTATTCAGTTATGCCTACAATGTTGTTGACGCGAAACGACTGCTCAAAATGTGATGAAAAGCAGTTAGATTAAACATGTGGACTCGTGTTGTAGTGCATTTTCGAGATTTTTACAGTCTGTTTGTGTGTTTTTACTGCAAAGCATAGCATTAATATACATCTGACATGTTCAAGGGCCTTGATGCTTTCAAGTTGGCCTGCCCTTCGACAGTCATGTGTACTCTGATAATGTCAAGCAGGTGCTGTAATCAACACAACAAGAATAAATTGTAATTCTGAGCAAGCATTGTGCGAATATAAGAGCTGTTGTGACCGGAATAGCGTATCGAATAACACCAGCGGAAAATTACGGTGGCTATATTTTCAAAACAGGTTTAAAGTATGGATTAAATGGCTTATAGCCATAACTCTTAAACGCTGTCAATCAATCAGTTTATAGTTGAATACGAAAACTGAATGATCTAATATAGAATTTAGGCCTGTTTACTCAAAAACAAAGTCAAAAAGTCATGGGCAATTTCTGTTCAGGGGACGTGGTAATTCAATCATGTGAAATCGGGGACACATGAGAAAACCAGTTGAAAACCGTTGTGTTAGATTGTATCGTTTTGTTTTTTGTATTGTACTGTATTGTTTGTTTTTGGGGGGTTTTTTTGTTTGTTTTTTTTTGTGTTTTTGTTTTGTATTGTATTGTATTGTATGGTATATATAAGGAAGAAAATTTTGTAAACGAATATGATTGGCCGGCACAAATTTTCCGTCGGAAAAAAATTTTGAGTGGAAATGGGCCTTTTGCTCCCACAACTCTGAAGAGATTCGATCATTCGGAAATTGACATCTGGGCATGCGTAGATTGTACATGCTGACATATAATGAATACTAATGAGGCGAACTGCTAAATTACATCGAGATACAGTTGGCAAAATTTTGATTTTTTTTGTCGAAATTTGAGAAAACGCTAAACGTCCAAAAACAATATCATGTGACCCGAGCATAATTAAAAACATTTTTAAACTTACAAAACGAGCCTTATTTTGTTATAAATATATCACAGTAAGCAAAACAAAAAGCGCGCGAAAATCCTTGATTGAACCGACCGCCATTTTTCAAGTATTCAATGATTGCAGTGAAATCCAGCGTAAACGAACACATTATTTTCCAGGTCAGGGTTCTCACATATTTGGTGAGAAAATTAATTCAAGACTCTAAAGTCTACATTTCTAAAATCTACACTAAATAAAAATTAGGTCGAAGTACACTTACATGTTGAAATGGGGCCTTGGTGGCGCAGTCGACAGAGGAAGCGCCTTTCACCTCTGATTTTTTTTTTATTTAAACATATTTGTTACAGACATTTTCTCCAAGAGCATCGCTCATCGTGGGTTCGATCCTCTATATTGACTCAAGTGAAAAGAGTCAGTCAACGCTCTGCCGAAAGTCGTGTGTTTTCTCCGGGCGCTCCGGTTTCCTCCCACAGGCCTTAAAATATCGGTCGGTCACGGACATTGTCCGACCCATTCGTGAAACTGTCCGACGTAGAGAGGAAACCACCGGACATTCTGTCCGACCAAAGTGAAACTGAGGTTTATTGGTTGTCCGACCTAAGTGTATTGGTGTCCGACCGAACTGTAGCTTTGTCCGACGTATAAATCAAAATGTACCCTAGCCCAGGACTAGATGCTTGTATGTTAAATGGAAATTCAGAGTACTATTGTATAAAAGGTGAACTGGAAATGTTGTTTAACGTATAGTCTAGCGCGGGGCGGCGAGCGAAATGGTGAAGTGGAAAACGGGCTTAAGTTGTCGAAGTCTTTTTTAATACTGCTGTTCTGGCAAGCAAGTTAATTTTGGC